ATTAATTTAAGTGGAGTCTCCACCTAAGTTAGACAGCCAGATGCTTTCTTCTCTGTGGAGCATTACAACATCAGCCTGCAGTTAGTAGCAACAGATCATTGATTAGAGACAACTTTTTGTAGCTAGAACAACAATGCTTAGTCCCCATGAGCCAGATATGGCAATAATGGTTACTCTACAGTTCTATGAAATAAAATACTTATTTATACAAATTCCAATTGACAATTTAAAACATTTGGTAATTCATAAGCCTTATAAACATTTATTTAACACTTTCTGTGAATCAGGCGATGTACTCAACACATTATTTCCTTGAATTCTGGTGACATAATACTCTATGAAGTGTTACTGTAAATATTTTTTTCTATTTTATTAATGCAGATACTGAAACTCAGAGAAGTTAAGTAACTTGTACTAAATGGCACAGTAAGTTGTACAGATAGGATTCAAACTCCACAGCTTTTAACAACTACTTACGCATAGTCTCTTCAATTGAGTTATACTTTCCTTGAAAAGCAATTCCTTAGTCACCTTTTATATTCAAATAAAAAGTAATCATGAAATAATTATCACAGCAAATAAATCATTACATATTTTAATTATTTTGGGGATATGTAGGTAATATGAACATATAGTCAAAATTTTAAATATACTGAGAAATGAAGCCTTTTCCCCACCTTATCCTCTATTCTCCTGCTCCACACGTCTCCACAGAGGCAAACACTGGTAGACTCTGAGTGTAATCCTGAAATGATATTCAATGTATATGCTAATGTGTGTATATGTATTCTGATTTCTTTTAGTATGTTGTCTTTGATTTTGTATATAGTGTTTTTTTGTTTTGTTTTGGGCTGAGAAGAAGTTTATTTTAATGTAGTTAAAATACATTAGTCTTTCCTGGGAGTTTGTGTCATATTTAGATAGACCTTCCATACTCAAATTTTCAATGGTTTCCTATTTTCTTCTAGTAATTTTTCCTTAGAGATGTTTTATCTAGTTGTATGTGTGTGGTTGAAATTATAAGTGTGATGGCTATTATATTGAAAACTAGAGGCCCAATGCATGAAATTCGTGCAAGGGCCTTGGCCCCAGCCCCTGCCCACTGCCACTGCGGCTGGGAGCCTCTGCTGCCTCTGCCTCAGCCCCTGCCTGCTGCGGCTTTGTTGGAAGGAAGGACATCCAGAAGAACTTTCAGTCTAATTAGCATATTACCCTTTTATTATTGTAGATGGTTATTAATTTCTTATTAGTAATTTTTAGACAACCACCTTATCAATAGCTACTTCCTGATTGGTTATTTATCTTTACATATTATCCTTGCCAAAGTCATTTAATTTTGCATTTGGAAGTTTTGAGAGATATTAGAAGTGTAAACTCTAAAGACTTATTTCCAGCCCGATTCAATTCCCTATCAACAAATCATTACTGAGTGTTAAATATTCTTACGCTAGGTGCAGTAGCCATAAAAATAAGTTTAGCATCTAATGAGATGCATACCACACGTATAGCAATACAAGGTTTCTATAAATGCTATGAAAAAGGCTGACCTGTGGCCTCGAAGTTTAGGTTTTGTTTTGGAGGAAGTAGGAATCATGAAATAGGACATTCAGGTTGTATAGAATTTTGATGGAGATGCAAGAGTATGTATGAAGGCAACCCAGGCAGAAGGCGGTACATATAAAAAGAGAAACACAGTCTGAGAGTACTCTATAGTGCACATTAAAGGGATGTTATGTGATTCCATGAGAGAAAACACAGCAAAGGTGGGAAGGGACAATTATGTTTACATTCATTATGGTGGGAGATAGGGAGTCATTGAAGGCTTTTGATCAGGTAAATGTCATCATCAGAGCTACATTATAGGAAGATTAATCTGTCAGCACAGTGAATGGTTTGGAGCAGGAAGTGACTAGAGTGGAGGGGGAGATCAGTCAGCAGGCAGTGTAGACAAGCAGTCTGGACAAGAAATAAGGGAGCCTCCTTTAGCATGTTGGCAGTGGAAATAGGAGGAATAAAATAAAAGTGGTAGTGTGAAGATAGTTCTAACAACAAGCTTTAACAACTGATTAGATAAATGGGTAAGGAGAATGAGGAAGACTGTGACTTTAATTGGCTGATGATCTGATGATGTGATTGGCAATAACTGGTAAGTCAGAGAGAGGAACTATTAAAGAAGAGAGAAAAGGCCACAAATCTGGGTTTGATATATTCACTTCATTTGTTTTTGTTTGTTTGTTTGTTTTAAATGTATTTTATTGATTTTTTTATAGAGAGAAAGGGAGAGGGATAGAGAGTTAGAAACATCAGTAAGACAGTAACATCGATCAGCAGCCTCCTACACACCTCCTACTGGTGTGTACATGCCCTTGAACAGAATTGAACCTGGGACCTTTCAGTCCACAGGCCAACGCTCTATTCATTGAGTCAAACCAGTTAGGACAATATATTCACCTTGTTGTCCTAATTAATTATTTACTGAGTATGTAATGGACAATGTGGTAACTATACTTAATAATACTACACTGTTATATTTGAAAGTTGCTAAGAGAATAAGTCATAAAAGATCTCATCATAAGAAAAAAAATTGTGTAACTATGTGTGGTGATGGATGCTGACTAGGCTCATTGTGGTGATCATTTTGCAATATACCCAATCGTGATGTCTTACACCTGAAATTAATATAATGATACTAGAGACCCGGTGCAAAAAAATTTGTGCACTCGGGGCCAGGGGTTGTCCCTCAGCCCGGCCTGCGCCCATTTGCAGTCCAGGACCCCTTGGCAGATGTCCACCTGTTGACCTTAGGCCTACTCCCCGGGGGATCAGGCCTAAGCTTGCAGTCAGACATCCTTCTGGCAGCCAGGGAGCCCTCAGGGGATGTCCGACTAAAGGCTTAGGCCCCCAAGGGATCGGGCCTAAACCATTAGTTGGACATTCTTAGTGCTGCCATGGAGGTGGGAGAGGCTCCTGCCACCACCTCTGCGCTGGCCAGCCATGAGCCAGCTTCTGGCTGAGTGGCACTCCCCACATGGAAGTGCACTGACCACCAGGGGGCAGCTCCTGCATTGAGCGTCTGCCCCCTGGTGGCCAGTGCGCATTATAGCAACTGGCCATTCTGCCATTCAGTCAATTTGCATATTAGCCTTTTATTATTATTATATAGGGTGTCCCTATTTCCCCCCTTTTGCCCCCTCTACTCAGCTCTTGCTCCTCACTTCTCTCTGGCCATCACCATACTGTTCTCTGTGTCTATGGGTTGTGCATATATTTTCTTTAAATTCACTTCTTTAAATTTTTTTTTCAGATAAGTGCTTATAACTGCACTATTATATATTTTCTATTATATCATTTAGAATTAAGATATTTTTTAATTGAACCCTTGTAAATTTTAGCACAATTTAATAAATTATGCTAGAAACAATTAGGAGATTTTTCATGTAATGCAGATGCATTTCAATTGATATTTGATTAATTTTTAATTTTTTAATATTTTAATTTGAAATAATCTCATACATGTAAAAAAAACCTATAAAATACTACAGCATATTATATGTACCCTTCACCCAATTTCTTAGGTGTTAATAATTTAAACATAACCATTATACAACTAACAAAATTTGGAATATATTTTTCTTATAATCTCTTTAATGTTACTTAATCCATTTACTTTGTTTTTGTTCATCTTCACCCAAGGATATTTTTCCATTGAATTTTAGAGAGAGTGAAGGGAAAGGGAGAGACACATTGATTGGTTGCCTCCTGCACATGCTCTGATAGGGACTGGGGATCAAGCCAGCAACTGAGGTACATGCCCTTGACTGGAATCTAACCTGGGACCCTTCAGTCCAAGGGCTAATGCTTTATCTACTGAGCAAAACAGGCTGCAGCTTAATTCATATACTTTTAATCTATATGTGTCTTTTTATTTAAAGTGGGTTTTGTTTTTGATTCACCCTCATAATCTGTCTTTTAATTGGTGCATTTATGCCACTGACTTTCAGAGTGTTTACTGATAGAGTTACTGCCATATCTGGCAGCTTCTGGGGCTTCCGGGGCCTGCCAGCGGCCTGGGACCGATCTGGTCGCAGGCGGCAGGCAGGCAGCTCCTGGGGCTTGCGGGGCCAGCATGCCTGCGGCCCAGGACCGGATCGGGTTCTGGGCGGCAGGCAGGTGGCTCCTGGTGTTGCCCACGGGAGCCTGGATGGTGGCTCATGCTGGCGGCTCTCGCTGTCCCTCCCTGCCTGCGGTATGCAAATTAGCCACCATCTGTGTTGGCGGTTAATTTGCATATCTTGCTGATTAGCCAATGGGAGGGGTAACGAAGGTACGGTCAATTACCATGTTTGGCTATTATTAGATAGGATATGTCAATTACTTCTCTATTAAAAAGAAAGAAAACGGCCAACACAGAGCAGGGAGGAATATATTTCCAGTGTCACTTGTTTCTGGGAATACTAACACATTGGGACCCGGTAGAAAGCAAAGTCTCCTCCTGCCACAGCCACAGGTTAAAAATAATTATGTGTCCTAATCCAAAAATAATTATGTGTCCTAATCCATGGGCTCAGAAAGCTTTCAGTGAGTTGGGATATGGGCTCCATCTTAAGGTTGGGCTCGGTGTTTGCTCTCTGCCAAATACTGGAAGAGGTTACATCATGCAACCTCCCAGGTGTCCCTCCCTCCTCAACCTCCCAGGTGTCCCTCCCTCCTCTTAGCAATGGCTAATGCTTCACTAGCCTTTGCAGATGAATTGGCTGCAGAGGAGAAAGGTTGAGCTGGGCCAAAAGGAGGAGCTTAAACCTGTGTGTAAAATCTGGGAACCTGATTGAACATAGGCTGGGGGCCAGGATGAGGGGGGAAAAGAGACGGGAAAGACTTCCCCCACCTCCCGGTAAGAAGATCCCGTGATCAGCTTCAGCCACTGGCAGGCAGTCCTGGTCATCCTCAGAGTTTACATAAAGGGACTGTTGAAGCCCGAGAGCCACAGTGCTGATACAGGGCTCCCGGACATCATGCATTGGTCCTTGCACCCCCGGAGTTTAATTCTCTACATCTACACTCTTTTATTCCTCTCTTCAACATGCCTAGCCGTAAGTATGCTTCTCCACAGACATATTTGTTTTACATGGAAAGCTGAAAAGTAAGAAAATATATGATAAACTAGTGAAATTTCTGTATTTTTCTCCTCTAGTTTGTTCCCCCCACAGACAACTGCTGCATCTCAGAGAAAAGATTTGTAAGTAATTTTTATGGTTTGTTTGTTTGTTTGTTTCTGCTGTATGTAGATTGCAGAGAGGCAGAGGAATAAAAGGAATTCTCTTACAAACATTTGGCATTTTAAACTCTGTTGTTTTTTTTTAACATAGTCTAGCTTTTACCTATTTTTATTCATAGATTGTTAAGTGTGGCTTTCATCAAGATTTTAAATCACTCTGTTGTTGTATTTTCAGGGTCGTTACTGCCCGACTACATGTGGCATTGCAGATTTCTTGCTTAATTACCAAACCGAAGTAGACCAGGATCTACAGTCTGTGGAAGAAACCTTACGTAAAATCAAAAACAACACATCAGAAGCCAAAGAACTGATCAAAAAAATCCAAAGCGTCTATAATCCTGATGGCCTACCGAAGTCAGGTGAGGAACTAAATACCACTGACTGAGAAGATAATTTGTAAAGTTCTTTTGCTGTTGTTTCACTGGTTCCATTTGCCTAAACATTTCTGTCTCTGATCTCATATTACAGATAAGATACAAGCTGCTATTAAGGAATCTCAGAAAATGATGGAAGATATTATAAAATTTGAATCATTGATTATATCACATGAATCAAGTATTCGGTAAGCATTTTTGTCGTTGTTGTTAATCCTCACCCAAGGATATTTTTTCAATTGTTCTTTAGAGAGAGTGGAAGGAAGGGAGGTGAGGGAAAGAAAGAGAGAGAGAGAGAGAGAGAGAGAGAGAGAGAGAGAAACATCAATGTGGAGAGACACATTGACTAGTTGCCTCCTACACACACCCCAACTGGGACTGGGGCTCAAACCTGCAACCCTTCCGTGTGCAGGCTGCCACTGTAACCACTGAGCTACACCAGCCAGGGTGCATTTTCGTTTTAACTTACTCTCCAAGAGTGATTTGGTTTTTACTTAATATTGCAAACTTCAGTGGAATTAACTTTTTCCCCACTTTTGATATTTAATTGTCATTATGCCTGGCCATCTGGAACTCAGTGGAGATAGCATCTTGAGTGCAATATGTGTTGCACTGGGTTATAATTGCTTTTTAATAATCATGTGGGAGAAAGGTGTTCTAGATGTCTTCAAATACTGCTATGGCCCCATTTATGAAAATGATCCCTCATCCCCGTTTGTCTTACATCACAGATTCAAATGGGGATTTGGGTGTGGAAACTAGGAATCTCTTTATAAGATTGTAACAAATTGGTGGGAGGTGATAGCAAGCAGAGGCATAGGAAGGGTATAGGAAAAGTTAAGAGACTAAGTGTAACAAACATTACAAAGCTATGTGCTGATCACGGCACAGTGACTGTGCCATTATGTTCTCTCCTTCCTTCCCTTGAAGGCAAAATGTCTCTATTAATAACTTCCCAGGGACTCATTAACTTCCTGAACTCAGGATCTCAGATACAGTTTTAGTTTTTTTTCCTCAAAAAAAATTTTTTTTTAACTAAACTGTGTTCAAAGTAGCATAAAAAATAGTGATAAATGGTGGCTAGGGAGAAGTGGGCAGGAGGGATTTCTCCTCTTTCTGTTACCAGAGGGCCATAATTACTGTTGTTGTATAATTTATAAGTTACACTAGTATTGCCCATCATTGAAGTTAAAGAGACTATTGTGCAGAAATTTTCTAAGGTGCAATAAAGAAAAAGAGTGGTTGGGTACTTTTTCTATCTTTCTTCACCAAAAGATACACCAGGCTGTGCACTGTAGACCATGTTCTACCATTCCTGAATATGCACAGACAAGCCTGTGAACAACTACAGAAGCAGGATTTTTCACTTCCCCCAGCCTTTTCCAAAGATCTGTAAATAGAAACATTGAGAAGGTCAGGAAGTGTCTGTTGTTCTATTATATATATGTAAGATAACACCCTAAATACTTTCTCCATGTAAGTTATAGATTGTAGACCTCAAATAGTCCTCAGTAGGTCCACAGTGGAAAGCATAATTCATCACATGCGAATCCCTGAACAGAGCCTTTTCTTCCCTAAGAATATCCAGTCCTCAGAATGATCCTCAGACTGTCCTCCCATTAACCAGGCTCTTCACTCCATTAGGTCGTTATCTGCTGCCCTTGATACAGATGGTAAAAATCAGAATGGCCACTGTTTAACGACAATGGCATTGCTTAAGGACAAGAACTTTATTATTTTCTTTTCCAGAAAGCTTAGAATTTTAATTCGCCTCAATTAAGTAACAGAATTTTACAGTTTTCCAAGAAATGGAGTCATTTATCAGGAAGTAATTCTCAAAAAGATAAGGTAGTATATTTAAATGAAAATACAAAATTACACCTCTGAAGGGTATGCTCTATTATCTTATTCTTCCGCTTGTAGATTTTTGAAGGACATATATAATTCAAATAGTCAGAAGATCGCTACCTTAAAACAGAAAGTAGTCCAGCTTGAAGCAAAGTGTCAAGAGCCTTGCAAAGACACAGTCAAAATACACGATATAACAGGGAGAGGTAAGTGACACTTTGATGTGGGGATTAATATATTAAGCAAAAGAGATTTCATCTTTTAGAATGCATAGGAATAATTTTGAAGGTGCTTAGCCATTGAGTCTAATTGTATCCAATTGCTTGGACTTTGCTTGAGTAGCTAAAAATAGTTTGAAAGGAATGATGATGTGAGAAGTAAGACAATGCTTTGCGGGAAATGAATAGTTTACAACTTGCTAAACGCCCATGTTCAAGGCTGGAACAGTCTTACCTGGATTTCAGACCACAGTATAGGCTTCTTCGTCTTCTTCAGATTGTCAAGATATTGCCAATAAGGGAGGCAAAGAGAGTGGGCTTTACTTTATCAAACCTCTGACAACTCAGCAGCAGTTCCTAGTCTACTGTGAAATGGAAAGAAATGGAAATGGATGGACTGTGCTTCAGAAGGTATGTCCCCCCTCACCCTGTGTGTTTAATAAACACTCAAATAAGCATCAGCCTTAGGCTGGATACTTTTCTAAGCACCTTGTGAACATCAACTCCATGAATCCGCACACCTTCCCTGTGGGGTTGGTACAATTATTACCTCTATTTACAGAGGAAGAAACTTAGGCACCAGAGGTAAAGTCACTTACCCAAGATCACAAAACTAACTAGTAAGTAACAGAGTCAGGATTGGAACCCAGGCGGTCTTATTTCAGAGTCTGTGCTTTGACTGGATACTGTGCTGGCACTGCCATTGTCGATATGTGATAGCACGTAGTCACAGAATCATAGTAACAAAAAGCCCCACAGAGAGTAGGAAAAAGTTATTGAAGTTGAAATCTTAAATTGTAAAAACCACCACTGAGTGTCAAACTTATAAAAGCAGAACTCATTTTGTGCAATGAACATAAGGAAAGACTACTGTATAGCTTTTTGTTTTGTTCTGTTTGTTTCTTTTAAATGAAGAAAAGCTTTGTTTAAGGGTTGCATACTTTACTGGAGTAAATCTGAATGATCCTACTCCTTTGGAACAAACAGTGCTTACTGGTTTCCAATTGTATTTAGCTTTGGGTTGGAATTTGAAAAAATGAAAACCTAAATAAAAGAGGTGAAGTTCCCTGACTATTCAGGTGAATACACACACACACACACACACACACAGCCCCACAGGAAACCGGAAGGGTCTTGTTTCATTAGTTAGATCAAGACCTACAGCTCCCAGTTAAACACAGATACAGTCCCACAGAGGATTCCGTTGGGCTGTTCCCAGGCAAGGGCCCTTTGTTTCCTCTCTGCCAGTCCCTGGCAGTTGCCGCAATCCTTCCCTCTGTTTACCTCTGACCACCTTTACGAGTAATCCTGCAGGGGGCGCTCAGAGGGCGTGGGGGGTGGAAGTGCTGGTTGGCAGACAAACTGAGCAATGAGTTGACCTTTCCACCATCAGTACAAGAATCAGCAGTGACCCGCTGGAGTTCTGAAGTCCTCTAGGTGTCTTTTAAAAACTACCACTAATCTAGAATTGTGCCCTGCGCTCTTTAAGTATTTCTCCAACATTCCCTCGTGTAATCCCTGCAATAACTCTAGAAGTAAGGATCATTATTCTTATTTGACAGATGAGGAATCTGAGGCAGCTTGACCAAGGTCATCTAGTTAGTAAATGATGGGATCAGACCCTCCGTATTTTCAACAAATGTTTATACCGTTTTCTTTATGTGCACTGATAATCTGTTCTCTCCTTTTGCCTGTGCATGTGTGTGATTAGAGGCTTGATGGCAGTGAGGATTTCAAGAAAAACTGGATCCAATACAAACAAGGGTTTGGACATCTGTCTCCTACGGGCACCACAGAATTTTGGCTGGGGAATGAGAAGATGCATTTGATAACCACACAGTCGACCATCCCATATGTATTAAGAGTGGAGTTAGAGGACTGGACTGGCAGAATCGCGTACGTTTAGAAAAGACTTTGTATTGTCTAGAATGTGCATTTTCCAACCATCAACAGACCACTGGCAGAGACAGCTTCACAAATGCAAAGAACACATCCAGCCATTTCCTCCACAAGTCATTTTGGTTCTTGGGCAGCCCAAAGAGATGGGTCCCCTCCAGGCTGGATCTGAGTATTTTGGCACAATCTACTTACCCTGGAACCACACAGAATCATTGCTGATATTTACTGAGCATTTAATATTTAATATAAATCGAGCATGAAATTATAATTTGATCTAGTCCTAATAACTCTTTCATGAGGCAGGTAATATTGTTAATTCCAGGTTAACTTTCCCAAGGTCACATTGCTGGTATACAGTTAAGGTTGGATTTGAACTAAAGTAGTTTGATTCTACAGATCATCTTAAGACTATGCTGGTTGAAAAGCCAATCCAACCTCTTCAGATTTCCTGGCTGAAATTAAGTCAGCTAGCTCTTTTGGTGAGCTAGAGCCCCTCTATGCTCAGAGCTATCTGGGGGCTTTGAGCATTCATTGTACACCTAATTAAAATTCAGAGAAATATCCAACCCTCTTTTTTTAAAAAATATATTTTATTGATTTTTTACAGAGAGGAAGGGAGAGAGATAGAGAGCTAGAAACATCGATGAGAGAGAAACATCGATCAGCCGCCTCCTGCACATCTCCTACTGGGGATGTGCCCGCAACCCAGGTACATGCCCTTGACCGGAATCGAACCTGGGACCTTTCAGTCCGCAGGCCGACGCTCTATCCACTGAGCCAAACCGGTTTCGGCCCAACCCTCTTTTTATGTCTATGAAATAATGAAATATGTTTTATATCCAAACATGTATTTTTATTTATTTAATTTTCACCCAGAAAGTACCATAGACTTGCTCCTGTGAGAATATCTCCAGTTTCACAAATACTGGAGATCAGTGATTTTCTGGAAATCTCTGTTCATATACTATGGCTCATTCTTCCATGCACTCCATAGAATTCTGGCCCTCACTCATATTTTTTTTCAGGGGAGAACTTCTCTCTGATCCCCCAGCTCATGTTTTGTGGGCCACACAGGGACCATTTCTTTTATGTGATGCTCTAGGAAGCCATCCTTATTGCCACGACCACATTGCCTTAGGACAGAAAAATCCCACAGGAACTCACCCTTCAGATTGAACAGCTAAAGGAGGTGTAATTCCTTTGGTGCACTGACGGTCACGCACTGTCAGCTAATTACTGTGGTTTCTGATGACTGTATGAACAATGCTAACCATTTAGATAAAAGTGAAAATATAAAATTAATCAGATTCATCTACACATCTGGATTTGATATTAGGATCCTATAGGCTTTTAGACCCATCCTGGGTGGTGCTAATGAGCACTGAACTGGTTCATACAGCCATTGCCTCTTATCAAATTTGCAGAAGAGTTCATTCAATGAACACATTTGAGACTTAAGAAGCAAACAACTTCTATGGGAGAGGGACCTTTTGAGATCCCCATTGAGGCTCAAGATATGATATCTCTATTTCTTTATAGCACTGCAGACTATGCCATGTTCAGTGTGGGGAATGAAGCTGACAAATACCGCCTGAAGTATGCCTACTTCATGAGTGGAGATGCTGGAGACGCCTTTGATGGCTTTGATTTTGGCGATGATCCTAGTGACAAGTTTTTCACATCCCACAATGGCATGCAGTTCAGTACCTGGGACAATGACAATGATAAGTTTGATGGTAACTGTGCTGCACAGGATGGATCTGGCTGGTGGATGAACAAGTGTCATGCTGGCCACCTCAATGGAGTTTATTACCAAGGTATGGCTTTCTTCCTTACTTATATGACTTAGTGTGCAGTCTATATTTTAATAAAAGGTATAAATAGATTTAAGGACATGAGAAACGATTAGTAATTATATTAGGGGGCTTATTATATAGTTCTATTTTTAAATAATAAATTTATAATGTATTACAATACAAGTAAGTATTTTCAGTATAAAAATTGCATTTGCACAAAGAAACTATATAGTAACAAATGCAATTACACTACACTGGAAGCATGTCAAGGTGAGTGAGTGCCACATATACAGTGTCACAATTCACATGACACTTTACTAAGAATAAACTATCTCAAGGCCATGTCCTGGTCTGAAGCTGTCATAGGCCTTTCAATTGAACTTCCTGGTTCAGGAAAGTATTCAAAAGCTGCCAGAGGTTCATCAGACTTGATGACTCCACGTTCGGTTTTTCAAGATAAGCTATAATCCTCAAGAGGACCAAAACATAGGACTGAGGTAAAGAGATAGTAAACAATGAACTTTTCTGTTGACACAAAATATTTACACGAATGCTTTCCAAAATGTTGTTATATTTAACAGGATGGGTCTATCACACATTTATAACACTGGCAGAAATAACACTTCAACACTGAAGTAAAGGGCAAATAGTCATACATTAACAAGAGTATCAATCTCCTTTCTTTCTCTCACTTCATGCCAATTTAGTTCTTGATATTAAATCACAATTGAATAATACTGTGATTATAACTCAAATTGGTCCCTCAACAAGAAATACACCTGCTGTAAAATAGCCAGTGATTTGTCATTGCGTCTGAAATTACCACCATCAGAGTTGACATTTTGGGTTATGGTATCTCCTCCAAATCTACATATATATGATTTGGATGGACCAACATTACCATATTTATGCTTGTTAACACATTAGCTTGTGTCAGCTGAGCAGTGTATCAGATATAACCAATGAGAAGTAAGCCAGTGTCTGGAGGAATGGAGTAAAGAGCTTGAAATTGTTTGAAAGGGTAGGGGTCTATGGAAACTTGAGAGAAGAGTCCAGCCTATGAGTCTAGACCAGCCGTGGGCAAACTACGGCCCGCGGGCCGGATTCGGCCCGTTTGAAATGAATAAAACTAAAAAAAAAAAGACCGTACCCTTTTATGTAATGATGTTTACTTTGAATTTATATTAGTTCACACAAACACTCCATCCATGTTTTTGTTCCGGCCCTCCGGTCCAGTTTAAGAACCCATTGTGGCCCTCGAGTCAAAAGGTTTGCCCACCCTTGGTCTAGACACTTACTTTAGGATGAGGGAAGGCAAGCTATAGTTTGCTCTAAGGCTGGGGTAGTTATGAACACTGATTCTACTTACTAACTATTGTCACTACCCAACAGTTTTGTGTGGGAAAGCTCTACTGATGCAAAAAGATCCATTAAGATGAGCAATCCTACCTCCTCATGGCATTGTCCTAGCCAATAGATGGCTTAAATTCCTCTTTAAAATGATTTACATTTACCTTTTGGTCTTCACAACATTTTGTAAAAATATTTTTTTTTATTGATTTCAGAGAGGAAGGGAGAGGGAGAGAGAGATAGAAACATCAATGATGAGAGAGCATCATTGATTGGCTGCCTCCTGCATGCCCCACACTGGGGGATCAAGCTGGCAACCCTGGCATGGGCCCTGACTGGGAATTGAACTGTGATCTCCTGCTTCATAAGTCAACACTCAATCACTAAGCCACGCCAGCCAGGCTTCACAACATTAAAAACAAAACAAAACACCTAATTATCAGCTTGGGTCAAATATTCCCTTAGGAAATTACATGAGAACTGGTGCTTATGGACAAGGAGAAGGCAAATCAGCCTAATCTCCACTTTCTAATGGAGATGTGAAGTACCAGTCCAGACTATTTTCTAAAGTCCCTCATACTTTCCAGTACAATTGTGTTTTCAGGTAACTGGCGATCATCTGATCAGGAACTGTGATTCTTGCCGTTCTAACCTCCTTGAAGAAAGATGGTCCATAATAGCTGAGTCCAGGATGACTAAGCTCAGGGAAAGACACCAATTGGGGAACCTGGGATTCTAGCCCTGTTAATAGTGAATATATTTAAAGTGTGAATGTGACCAGAAAGTACAACACAGATGTAAGGGATCCTATATAATAAAAGGCTTATATGCAAATCAACGGAACAGGGAATGACGGGTTGATATGACGCACATTGACCACCAAGGGCCAGACACTCAATGCAGGAGCTGCCCCCTGATGGTCAGTGTGCTCCGGCCTCTCAGCCAGAAGGCGGGGTCATGGCTAGCGAGTGCAGTGGTCGTGGGTGGCAGCGCTAAGGATGTCTGACTGATGGCTTAGGTCCACTCCCCTTGGCTGTCAGTTGGACATCCCCATGGGCTCCTGGACTATGTGAGGGTGCAGGCCAAGCTGAGGGACCCCCCCAAGTGCTCGAATTTCACGCACAGGGCCTCTAGTTGTTTAATAATTCATTTATTATAAATATAAATTGAGATTTTAGTGATCTTTAGGGATATTTTCAGTTTGTTGATAACACTATAAATTTGATATGACAATGGTCATTATAAATGGCAGTTCTTTATAGACTCTCTGAGGTAAGGAAATCCAAGAGCAATGATATGTCCAATTTGTCTTAGGTGGCACTTACTCAAAGACATCTACGCCGAATGGCTATGATAATGGCATTATTTGGGCCACTTGGAAATCTCGTTGGTATTCCATGAAGAAAACCACCATGAAGATAATTCCATTCAACAGAATCAACATAGAGGAAGGGCAGCAGCACAACATTGGGGGATCCAAACAGGTCAGACCAGAGCACCATGTTGAAATAGAAGCTGAATAAATCATTTTACTTTGAGAATGAATTTTTCATTTCTATTAACCCACAATGTTTCAGAAACTTTTCTGAAAGTTCCTTCTCAAAATTTACCAATTTTGTCTGATATTAAGGATACTTAGCCTTAATGGAAATTATAACTTAGTTTGGATTGTATTCCCAAATTACTGAGCTTTGAATTATTTAAAATTTATTTATTTGATGAGATAACATTTTAGCATATGTCCTAGGTATATATGAAATAATTGCCACATTTTTTTTTACATCTTAATGACCACATATTGTTTTATCTTGGTAATTTTTAAAAATTATGCCTTAAATATTTTAGTACATACTAATAAAATTAGTAAATTTTAGTAAAATTAGGAGTAAATTCTAGCATTTCAAATGCCTAAGTATTTTTCCAAATGTATCACCCCTAATTATTCATATTTAATTCTTTTTAAATGGAGACAATTATATGTTTTTAATATATTTTTGTTTTGGTCATAGGCTGGAGACGTTTAAAAGACCATTTCAAAAGTGAATTTACTTTTTTAAAGGACTTTATCTGAATGATAAATATAATATTTTTCATAAGGGACAATGGACTCATAAAGCCATACTTCATTTTAAGAGAAAAAAGAACCCATGTTGAAAACTCCACTAACTGTTTTATGTTGGTGATAATTTATCTACATGCCATTTCAATAAACATTGTGTTTCCTAAGACTAAATACATGGTGCCATTTATTTCTTTCAATTTAGTAATCATAGTTTGGCAATCATCAGTACTTGCTGAGTCCTCACTTTATACCAAACCTTAAACCTGCCTCTTCGGGAAGTATATGAAAAAAATAGAAATCATGGCTTTTGTCCTCCAGGCGATATAAGATAAAGATAGAAAAATACAGTAACTCAACGTGACAAAATTTGATATAAAAATATAAACCCAAGTTACAATCACATAACTAAGTTTCAGAATCCCCAAAGCATAGCTGGAGACATAAGGCTGTTTGGGAATTCTCCCACTAGAACCTTTGGTTCCAGACTCCTTTGGGCTTTCTGAAAGGACTTGAAATCAGAGCAGAGAAATTTAAGGAACAATCTAAATCAGTCTCTCACTGAGATTCAACGGATTAGAGCCATTACTTCATTCTGAATCTAGGAATATTGAGTTAGCAGCCAGAGATTGGGGAGGACCAGCTTTCCGAAAGGAGTAGTTAAGTCCACATCAGATTGACCTTGTAAAGTAATTGATTAATTCTAGGAGGGGAGGATCAGGTTGTTCTGAAATCCTGAGCTTTAGCTTTGGATTCTCTTCTTTTCCACAATTTCTTTCCTAATCCTCTTACTCCCTTGTTCTCGTGAGTCCTGATTTTAAATATCCTATTGAAATAAAAACAGAAAAGAGACAACCAGGTACTTGTGGGGCTTTGGGAAATAGGAATGCTTATTCACTATTTGCAGCACTCATTAATTCATGTATCCATGAAGCATCCATGCAACTAACATTTATTGAATGCTATTGTACTAGGCACGGTGCTGGATATTGGGGATATAGCGCACCATAGTATTTTCCTCTCTTCCAAAACTGCTCTATTCTATCCAGTTTTCACGTTTCAAAAAAACCATAACTCATCCTCCTGTCTTCCTTATTCCTCCCTCCCCTGGTCATTAAGCCTGTTAAATCTACCTCCTAAAGGTTTATTATATTCATTTCCTTTTATATACACACACACTACCACAGTGGTTCTCAACCTTCCTAATGCCGCGACCCTTTAATACAGTTCCTCATGTTGTGGTGACACCCAATTTCATTGTTACAAATTGAACATAATTAAAGCATAGTGATTAATCACAAAAACAATATGCAATTATGTATGTGTTTTCTGATGGTCTTAGGCGACCCCTGTGAAAGGGTCATTCGATCCCCAAAGGGGTCACGACCGACAGGTTGAGAACCGCTGCTCTACCACATTCTAAATGGGATAGACAACATCTCTTGCCAGGTTAGGGCAGTCATCTTCTTCCTGCCCCACACAGTGCCTCTAACCTTGCCTGCCCCAACCTTGTCATGCTTCAAACTACTTCTAAACTCAGAGTGCATAGTCTACCCTGCAAACTCCTGTAGGTGAGAAATTTGATCGTAGATAGGCAGAGTTATATAAAGAAGTTTTGATGCAACAAAACCGTGCCAGTGAATTAGTCCAAGAAAATTATTTTTGAAAAAGAAAAGACCATTGACAAGATCTCAGCAATATGAATATAGCCCTATACTTAACAGTGGGAAACTTATAAATTATTTAGCCGTGGAAGAATACACAAGCAAGTTAGTTTATTAGTACAATGGAATAGAAAACAGTGATTACATAATAAGCATTAAATCTCAGCATGAACATGGAAACATTTATACAATAAGTGAAATTTTAAGGTGAAAAATAATTCTACAATGGTAATACAAAAAGTGTATGTGCATATACATTTTAAACAAAACATAATTTTGACACCTATGCATTATCTGTACATATTTGTTCTCCCCCAACCAATATATAATGTAAAATTTAATAAAAGTACTTAATACAAAATAAATATAAAGAAGTCTAAAAGTTTCTCTCCCCCCACCCCCCCCATGAGGTCACTTGTCCAATGCTCCTTCGAAAATATCACTTATAACACTTTTCAAAAACATTTTGGAATTCCCTGTTCTTGTTGGTGTCCTGAGTACATATTTGGTTTGCATGTTGGGTAATCCACATTGACTGGTAAGACAGGCCTTCTAACTTTCTCTTTATACACCCTACTCTGCTCGACTTGGTATAATGAGTACATATTAATTTTGTAGTTATTTTAAAAACCCAATGAGGTAGAGAAAAACAGATGAACTTCAGAATTCTATTTGTTTAGTTATTAATGTACAGTGCTAAACATTGAAGGGCTACAGTTTAAGAATTAAAGCATGGGGTATACGTCCAAATGCAAATGGATCATGTCTCCATTATTTTGATAAACCAACTTTTAGAAATCAACTTTTAAGTGAAACAGTTTGGGATCTCAGAGACATAAATTATTTTTCTTCAGAGCACAAATCACAAATAACTCTTATTCAACCCTTCCTTTTACTTTCTTGACATAAAAAACAAAACAAAACAAAACAAAAAAACACCTCCAGTCACTACTGAGCGCAAATAGGCAAGCTGAGTACAAAGCAATGTGTGCAGTTATATACTTTAAAAAACATACAGAGGGAAGCTTCCAAAAAGGAGGGGACTGGTACAGATGTAGGGATACCATGACTTCGGGTCATGCAGCTACAGGGCAGAGTCCTTTAATCACCAGACAGGAGTAATCATTCATTGGACAAATGTCAAGATTTTCAAATATACCTCCAAAGTGTTATACCTTTTTTTCAATCCTCCTTCTGTTTAGTAGTTACAATATAAAGACACTATTTCAGATTGTGGGTGGGTTGAAAATGAGTGGGAAATGAAGAAATGTAAATATAGACAACATATTTGAGATCTCTACAAGATCTAAAATTCATGGACTCTGACTCTAACCAGTGTAAACTAGCCAAGGCATTTACAGTAGGTATCTTTGGTGTATTAAGATGATAAGAGTGAAAAACAAAGTACACATTTAATCCCGAGGAAAATATATCTACCTGCTGATTTCTTATTGGTTTGCTGTAGCCCAAAAAAGGAGGGGAGAAAAAATTAATGATAATCAGATGAATTAAAGAAGATGGAAAATAATGAGTTAGTGACAAAGAGACCAAGAGTATAGGAAAGACTTTCATATAACTTTTTGTGCTCTCTCTCTCTCTCTCTCTCTCTCTCTCTCTCTGCGTGTGTGTGTCCGTCCCTCAGACGTAAATGTTGTTAGCCATACTCCTAATTCACCATTCTCATTCATCTGTGCTCAGTTATTCTCTTGATTGATTCTTTTTCATTCAAACTTTCATTTCTTCCCTTCTTCCCATAATAAATAATCAGTCCAATGGCTTTGATGTGTTTCATTATTTGTATGCATTTTTATAAATTGTAAATTTTTCTTTTGAGCTATGTATTTTTAAATTATATAAATAGCATTGTGCAATAAATCAGTGTTACTCAGAATGCTTGTCCTCAAATTCTTTGTTACTGGTCTATATTAAAATAAAAAAATAATAGAAAATAACCATGTAGGAAGATTTTTCCTAAATTATCTTTGCTCTAATTATATTTAAATTACATAAAATGTAATTTTATGTCTTTAGAACCTAGTAATAAAAATTTGGGCTTATATTTTTATATAATTTTTAAATTTATTTTTCTAGTAATTAACTTAATTTTATAATCTAGTAGTACTTTGATTGGTTAGAAATTTAACAAAACTAGTCCTTTACCACAAATACTTTGAGAAGCACTGTTAAGGTCTTCATTGTACTTACTCTTGCACTCAGCACTATCCACAATCTGAGTACTTTATAATTTTTCTTGATTTCTTTTTAAACCAAGGATTTTAAAGTGAATATCATTTGGTTCCAAAGCTTGTAGCTCATAAAACTCTATTTTTAATTAATATCTAAATTTATTGCATTATGGTCAGAGAGCATACACTGGATTATATTAATTCTTGAGAGAGACATTTCCCAAATTATTTTGGGACAGAGAAATTATCAGAATTAATTGATTCCATAAAAGTGTATATAATCATAATCAGTTTCCAATAATTATCTACATAACAGAAGACTATTAATATTTTTCCTCTTATAAGGAAAACGAACAAACTAAAGATGGACAGGTACTTATTGGCCTCCTTGTAAACATGATCTTTGGCCCAAATGTCCAGTAGTCATGGTCAATTATGAACATTAAAAATAGGTTCAATTGCCTGGCCAGGTTGGCCCAGTGGTTGAGTGTCAACCTATGAACCAGGAGGTCCCTGGTTCAATTCCTGGTCAGGACACATGCCCAGGTAGGGGCTCAGTCTCCAGTATGGGGAGTATAGGAGGCAGTCAATCAATGATTCTCTCTCATCAATGTTTGTATCACTCTATACCAGCCGTGGGCAAACTACGGCTCGAGGGCCGGATCCGGCCCGTTTGAAATGAATAAAACTAAAAAAAAAAAAGACCGTACCCTTTTATGTAATGATGTTTACTTTGAATTTATATTAGTTCACACAAACACTCCAT